CTTCGCTTGCATATAAGATGCCAGAATAAACTCCTGATTTCTAATAGAATGCAAGTATGTGCATGTGTGTGCTTGTATCACAGATTTCCAGTTCTGATGGCTGAAAGAGCTTAGAGACAAACAGGCTGTGGGCCCACCTGGTACCCAAAGCTTGGTCTCTAGCACCCTTCTCCACTAAACAGTGTGTGGGCTTCTTGCAAAGCAGCTGATGTCAAGGCTGTGGCAAACGGAAGTCTAAGATGGGCCCAGAATATCTCATTATGCCATACACTGGAGAGGTGCTAAAATAAGGTAAAACATCGACCAAGTGGGCTTGAAGGGGCTTTCAGTGATCAAATCTGGAACAATTTGAGCATCAAATAATGAATAATAATAAATTATAAATCTCTGAAAACTAGGAATCCTTTTGTTGTAAATGATCAAGACAGGCTGGGGCTATAGCTCAGTGGCACAAGCACCTACCTGGCAAGGGCAGGGTCCTGAGTTCGATTCTAGGTATTAGAAAAAAAAGATCAAGACAGGCTAAGGAGCTATATCATATTGAAAGAGACTGAAGAAACATGGTAAGTGAATGCAATGTGTTGTTATAAGGTAAGTCTGTACTGAAGGAAAAAATGCTACAGAAGACACTACTGGGTTATCTAATAACACTGAAATACAGATGGTGGAGCACAGTATTGTATCATTTTTAAATTTCCTGAAGTTGCTAACACTGTTGTTATTTAAAGGAATCATCTTGTTTTTGTTAAAATATGCTTTGGAAAAATACTAATAAAAAAGCATACTTTGAATTATTTTAGGATAATGAGTCATATGTTCAACTTACTCTCTGATGGTTCAGAAAGACAGTGTACTTCTGTTATGTATCTATGCGCGGCTACATTCCTTTGTATGCTCATAATGAAACGAATGAGGCGAAGTCAGTAACTGATGAACGCATGGAACATAGTTTCTTTATAATATTCTTACAACTATTCTGTAAACTCAGAATTCTTCCAGATCAATTTTCTTTTAAAAGTTGGTGTTCAGGGCTGGGGAGATAGTTTGGCAGTCTAAGCACCTGCCTGGCAAGTGCAAGGACCCAGATTCAATCCCTAGTATTATATGCCATGTCCTCCCCGTGAAAGCCAGCCACTGAAACTGGGCGTGGTGGCCCACACCTGTAATCCCAGCACTGGGGAGGCTGAGACAGGAGGATTACTGTGAGTCCAAGTTGCATAGTGAAACCCTGTACCAAATAAATAAATATTTTTAAAAAGTTGGTGTTCCACATGCACAGAAATTTAAGGGTAATAATGTAGATTTGTGTAAGTGGAAGGTATGGTGATGTCGAATGTTTTGAAAGACTCAAATAGAAGAATGATTAAAACTTTGAATTTGACTAATCTGCTGCTAGCTTTCAAGTGTTCTGAAAGTCAAAGGTACAACAGGAATAGTTTGTTGCAAGCTCTCAGTCTCATCTAAATCTTTTTTTTTTTTTTCTTTTTCAAGTGAAGAGATTGGTCCTCAGGTCATAGTGTGTAAGATAACAAAAGGTGTAATGTGTGTTTGTATCAAAACCACACCACTTTTAATGAAAAAAAATACTAAGATCCACACATTCGTACTTCTGTACAATTTGGAGTAATATATAATTTTAAGCTGTTTACAAATAACATGTAATGCTTCAAATATTACATAAGGTTGATAATACATTTCTAGCATTAATAAATATATTGCACTTAAAAAGAACTTCGTTAGGTGTTACTTCGTAGTATTAGGCTTATACCCTTTCCTTCCCATAAAACATTTCCCAAGCCCGGCCCCCCGCCCCCGGCACACGCTCTGCATCATGGGGCATTTCCCAAGCCCGGCCCCCCGCCCCCGGCACACGCTCTGCATCATGGGGTCTGTTCTCACACGGTCAGTTAAGCAAATGAAGACACTGCAAACAAAAAATCCGTGACAGTCTACCGAAGAGGCTACATCTGATTTCAACCTTCTGGAAATGAAAGAACTCTTATGTTTCTGAAAATTGAAAACACAAGCTACAGTATGTAAGCGCACCAGAAGTAAAATACAACATATTGTACTTTTGTCCTGATGTATTATTTCACAAAAATGCTTCTATTTTCTTATTCCCAGGGTATTGTACCTATAAAAGGGTGGGGATTATAATTATTTGAAGGACAGACAGAGGGAAAAAGACTGAAAAATACTTGTGGATTATGTGCCCACCAAATATTTATAAATGAATCTTTCTATATTTAAGCATGCCAGAGAAAGGTAAATGTTGGGATATTTTATAGTTGCCATAGACTAGTAAGTAGTGAAGAGTTTTATGATTTTCTAAAGTCTTGAGAGTTTGTAGCCTTTCCTTTGCTGGCTTACAAAAAACTCCTTTTTATTCTAAAGCAATATAAAAATTCATATAAAATCTACCTTCCTTGGACACTGCTGTCTTCAGAAGCAAACTGAATTCTCTAGTTCTTTGTCTAGATTAGGGGCATAGTATTGTTTCAATCCCCTGCCCATTTAACAATGAAAATCACTGTCCTTATTTAGTCAATGGAAGATTGAATAAAAACAGTTTTCTTGTAATCTGTTACCCTGTACATCACAAAATTGATTATTTAGAGCTTTGTTACTGTGTCACTGCTAAGCTAGTTTGTGTATTTTTATTTTTCAGTACTGGGCGCTGAAACTAGGACCTTCTCAGAGTGAATCCTGAGCCCTTTCGTATTTTGGGAAAGAGAAAGAGTGTCTGGGTCAATTGCTCGGTTGTCCAGGCTGGGCTCAGGCAGCGTACTGAGCCTGCAGGCATGCCCCGCCAGCCCTGGTTGCAGCTGTGATTTTAGGCGGGGGAATCATGATTCCACACACTCTGAAAGTGATTTTTCTCAATATAACTCAGCTTTATATAAGCAAGTCAGCTTTAAAAAACTCGTGTGAGGCACAGAAATGAGGTAAATATCCTAACTGTTCTTAGAGGTCCGTAAGCAGGGTGTGATGATGGTGCTTGACATCTCAGACTATTTGTGGGTGTTTTTTTGGGAGACAGAGGCTATAGAAACAAAATGACAGAGATGAGGCTCAAGGTGGAGGGAGGCAGATCTTAAACTATGTAGCTCCTACAGAGGACTTTGGCTAGATGAAGAATCATTATCAGGAGTCTGCTTAACATCATAAACTCTATGCCCACCCTCCTGATAGGACTGATGGTCCCTGAAAACATTGTACTTTTGCTATAAACTCAAATAAGCCAATAACACAACACAAACTCATGAATCTCGACTGCATTGCCTAATCTGTGGTATCTTAGATGCAAGCTAAGTATGTTTACTTAGGTCCTACTAAGGGTTGCCAGAGCGAGGAGGCTCACTAAATAATTAAAAAGAATCACTGAACTTGGAATTATTGAGAAATGTTTAAAAATGAATCACAAATGCAGAACCTACTTAGGAACTAATTCCATCAAGTTCAGTCAAGTGGGTCTGGCAGGTCCTCCTGTGTGTGGAAGTACCCCACATCAGCAGTATTTTTCGATACTGTAATAATCTTAGGGGGAAAACCCTGAGTTTATGCCTAATACTTCATGGTTGTTATTATTCAGTCAGCTTTCCCCTGAACTATCTGGTTCTGGCACTCAGTTTTGATAGGATGGGCTTTGGAATTTCCCACACTAGCCTCCCTACTGAGGGGTTCATTAGGACCAAGAGCCTCCAAAGCCTAGAAGGGCCAGTGGTTACATCTGTCGTCCCTGTGACCACAGCGACTGTGGTTCTGTTCAGTTCTATTTCTCTTGTGCTTCTCTCTGGTTCAGGTGATGTAAACACTGGAAATACAGACCCAACTCAGTATTTCAGGTCTGATTTTCCCAACAGTATGCTTCACTTTCCTGTAAGTGGTCTGCTTATCATTGTTTCCAGTTATTTCACAAACACAACCAAGTGATATAGTCAGGAAACGCTGGTACAAAACCATATTTAACAGAAAAATTCATGAAACCAGATGAGAAAGTTGTCAAAATACAGTTGAAATAATGGATTCATTCTCTTTAAAAAGGAAATTCAGACACAGATTCACTTTAGTAGACTTTAAAAGATGAGGAATTTATGGGGTATTGGGCAGCAAAATGTAAAGTAGCATCTTTTGTTATTCCTCCTTTAAGGGGTAGCGCTAAATTCAAAGGACCAGTGGCAACAACAAGCTAACTATTATTAAGCCCCCATCCTAGTTACATGGATTTATTTTAAACATTACTCATAACTGTCTCTTTAAAGAAATACTCATCTATACTTGGAAAACAAACTACCCACGGATACTGTATAACATGCAAGAAGCTACAAATGAACCTACAGTGTTTGGCACAGGATGTTGAAATGCATGGCTAACACGTCCATGGTTCTTTGTAAGTAAACTTTGGGTGTTCGTTCAGTGGAGATGGTGTGTCCAAAATGTGACAACAGTACCACAATCAGGGAGTGCCACGATGCCTGTGTCACAGGCCGGATAAGCCCAGAAAAGGCAGTTAATATGGAAAAGACTAACATTAACACGACCAAGTAAAATCCCGCAGGAAGCCTTATGTGATAAGTATATTGAATGTACTCCCAAATATACTGCTATTCTCCCAAAAATACGGCAATATTTCCCCATATCTTTTAACAGATTTACTATTTTTGCAGTAAAAAAGGAATAGAATGAAAATGACACACAAAATTTAAATTAATGTTTTAGGGAAATTTGCTAAGAACACAGATTACGTTCTGTGGCTGGGATGCATTATGTCAAAAGTTGAAAGATTATTGTTTAACTTCAAATGTTTAACTTCATTCTCTACTATTAGGGAAATGAACTGTCACAAATGACCAAATGTGTTTACCCTGATTGTAAATGCTAAGGTATAGTCTACAAAAAAAATAACATACAGGTAATATAAAACCTCATAGAACTAAAATATAATTAACTACTATTATACACATTAAAGGAAGGCTTAAGAAGATACCACTAGTTGAAAATAAAGTGGACAAAGCTTTAATTATAAGAACTGCCAGTGTGTCAGCCAGGGATTTACTGAATTAACATGCAATTTCACATTAGGGAATTAGAAAAATGATAACACAGTAAGAAAACAGGATGAATTAGCTACACAGCCGATGGCTGTCCATGAGCGTACATGAAATTGTGGGTATCCAGGCATTGAAATGGTCATTCTCAAATCCCTTGGTCAGTGGCAGCAGCAAAGCAGATTCATCAAAAAGGAAGATTTGGCCCAACGCACTTTGACATCCAGAAAGTCTCCCCAAAGCTGCAGGGGACCTGCAGGAGGAGCCTTTGGCTTCTATGGCAGAGAATTCCTTTGGAAAAGGACAGCTATTTTTTTTTATTGCAGCTGTGAGAGGAAGCAAGCCCCACACATCACCCAGAGGCTGTGCAATTCCCTCAGTGGGTGGGTCAGCAAAACGCCAATCTCGGCCTTGCCCAGAAGCACAGACAGCCCTCGCTTCAGCATTGCATTTGGAAGATGTTTCCTCTATCACTGGCAAGTAGCTGCGAGGAAGAGGTGTGGGATGGAAGAAGACAAGATTGAACACCAAGCTGGTTGAACCAAGTTCCATCAGCATTGCAAGAAGAGCTTGGTGAAGGCAACACCACGTCTTCATCCACACAACAGGATGCATCAGAATGATCTCACCTCCTTCCCCAGTGAACTAATGTAAAAGAAATAAAACATGCTTAAGCTACAGCTCTACAAATATTTCTCTATGGGATCCCACTTCCCATAGGTAGAAGTGGACTGAAGTTAGTCATATGGTCAGTATTGCCTCTCTGAAGATTCTTTTAACCTGTGGAAAACAGAAAGAAAACCTATACACATTGATTTTATACAATACTGTATTAACACAGCATATTCAGTCACTATGATTAATGCACTTTAAGATTTGTCTGTCTTGTATTATTAAACTGTCTGGGTAAATTGATATCCTAATACTTGCAAGACTTAGGTTGGCTAAGAACTTTACAATTATTCTCTCAACCCAAGAACTATCACCCAACTACAGATGAATTCTGGTCCACATTGCATTTCGGTAGCAGTAGATTTTATTGTGAGTCTAGCTCCTCTTAAACAGGTCCCATGTTTCCTAGAGATTGTCAGCTTTAAGACTGCACATCCCACCCACCCAACCCTGTCTTATACTTCCATACCCACTTGCACATTCTGGATCCAGGTGCTCCACTTCTGGAAGAGTCATACAAATGGTGTCATCACAGCAGAGGAATGGCGCAGTCCTTGGATGGCAGCATAGGGCCCCTGCTGGAAGTAGTGATGGTACCTCGGCATGTGGAAGGAAGGGAAGGTAGGGCCACTTCCTTGCATGGAGGTGGCAATGGCAGATGGGGTCAGAGGCATCCCCAGGCGGCTGTAGGGAGGCAGAGAACCCTGTATGGGGTGTGGAATGGGTGTTGCTATGGATGCTGTGCTGGTACCAAGAGCGGTCAAGGATTGTGGGTGCTGAAATCCAGGAAAACTGGAAGAAGATGATACCCAGGAGCTGAGTGACAAGTTGTCAGATGTTGTAAAGGCTGACCCTGTAAAGAAGAGCGCTTGTTAGACTAGAAATGTTATTTCAGTATATACATCTGAGACAAAAATGTCTTTATTTTAAAAAATATTTAGCAGATCTACACTGAAAAAGATAAACATGAATGAGGTTTGTCAAAGGGTAAATCTACCTTTCTTGATAGGAAGATAACATTTTTATCCTGCATAGAAGAAAGAATTTACTACATGGAAAAATATTTAACTTACCCTATGCATGCATGTTCCCAGATACCTTTCCTATAGACAATGACCTGATTCCCTTAAAATAAGCTCCAAACATTTAAAATTTCTTCTCACTGCTGCAGCACTTCCATAAGAAAAAATCTGTTTTCTTTTTGTAGGAATGATTAAAATATAGGGAATACACTTGAAGATATAGGAATAGGCAAGGACTTCCTGGATTGAACTCCAGTTAACACAAGAAACAGCACCCAGAATCAATAAATAGGATGACATTGAATTAAAAAGCAGAGGAAATAGTTGACAGAGTGAAGAGACAGCTTACAGAACTGAAAAGAATTTTTGCCACTTACTATTTTGATAGAGAGCTAATATCTAGAACACATAAAGAACATATAACTCAAAGAAGTCAACTGCCCTGGGGCCGGGGAGATAGCTCCGTAGAATAAACACTTGCCTGGTAAGTACAAGGGCCTGAGTTCAATCCCCAGTTCTAACAAACTTGTCTAAAAAAAAAAAAAAAAGCCCCAGTAGAAACATGGGCAAATGAACAAATACACTTTTCAAAAGAAGAAGCACAAATAGCCAACAAATATATGAAAAAAAAAAAAAAAAAAGGTCAACGTCTTTAACCATTAGGGAAGTATAAATCAAAACAACTCTGAGATTCTGTCTTATACTGGTAATCATGGCACTGGGCAGTCTAAGTGTTTAAGTCTCAGCAAAGCTACCTGATGGCTTCCAAAGCCATCGTGAGAACCTATACTGGTAAGTTTTCCTACATAGCAGCACCTAGACATTTAAACAAGAGTTGACACTGAACTTGGGATTAAGTGCTAAGAATGTCCTGTGCTTTCACTGATTATGCTATTCCATATTCTGGCCATAAAGCAATGACAGAAGTTTGCTTGCTGTAGGAACATTGCAGCACAAAGTGCCTCTCTGTTCATCCCTGGGCTTCTGCGCTAGGTGCAGGGGCTCTTTCTTCCCTGAGACTTTTTTCTCTCTGAGACTTTGCAAGAGAGAAATTTTGTTCAGTTCAGACTTTCTTTTGGGAGGTTACTGTTTCTTTCCTCTTCTTCTTTGTTTTAGTCTTTTATTTATTTGGTACAGAGTTTTTCTCTGCAGTCCACACTTGAAGTGATCTGTCTCAGACTGGGATTATGGGTGTGCACTACCACGCCTGGTTTCGGCTGCCAGCACAGTGAGCTTGAGGTCTCAGGGCTGGTACAGCATGCAGTATTGGGGGTTGAACCCAGGTCCTTTGCACTTGCCAGGCAGGTGCTTAGACCGCCAAGCTATCTCCTACACCCGAGGGGTTACTGTTTCTACATGAAGCCTTTTACTGGCACAATCATCTTTTAAAGGTGTTTTCACTTTTGTCTTTGATCTTAAGGTGACATTCCTAACTTGGCGAAACAGATACATTCCCTGATTTTCAGATTATAAAATTGAAGTTCACAAAGACAGTGGAGCTGTGCTTCTCCAAAGCTCCAAAGGTGCTATAATTCTTTCAGAGTAGTACATTCAGACAAGTACCTTCTGAGCCCTGACTCAAAGCTCAATGTCCTTTCACGAGAAAACTGGAACTTCAGGAAGCAAAAATCACTTATAACTCAGGTAACATAATGAAATGTGTAAAGGGCCAGGTGCCCTTTCACGGCAGTATGTACCCTGAGGAACATATATGCCTTCATTCTCTTGGGGTGCCATACCTCGATTTGGGGTTGTCTGGCTCTCTTCCCCCAGGACATCCTCTTCTCCTCCATAGGTGCGGATGGGCGAACGAGCATAGGAATGCTTCTGGATCAAGCTCTCCACACTTTCCCTAGGTGACACAGTGACAGGCATGAGCTCACTACAAAGTCAAATTCTCAGAGATGGAGAGGGGCCTTAAGGATAATTCCCTATGCAGCAAATCTTTTTTCTCAGCCAAGAGGAAACCAGTCCTGGGAAAGGTAACATTCAAAATGTGTCCATTAATTCTGTTGCAGTATGACTCCTCGGACAGAACTCCAGGAGCATAAATGCAAGCAAACCCAACTGGGGAAGGTGAGGACAACCCCCTGAGCCCCTACAGAATGAAGGACAATGAGGTGAACAAGGCCACTGGGGTATAAAATTTAATTCTGTGGGGAAAAAAAAGAGTGAATGATTTTACTAAGCAGGACAGCAGTGAGTCTTCTCACTGACTTCATCAGCTAATGAATTTAGAACAAAACACTCAGCTGATCTGAGCTACATTGATTTGCCATTTAACAAAATATTAGCAAAATGTTCAAAATAGCATTCATAAAAAGATTTGATGCTCACTAACAAACAGATGCTGGAGTACACCACTGTCTAAGCAATTTTCCTTGTCTCTAAGACACAGTACCCAACAAATTTAAAGAAAGAGAGGTTTATTTTGGCTCACATCTTAGAAGGTTCAGAATGCATGGGCCGCAGCATGATAGGTGGGCCTGAGTGGGGAAGGCTGCTCTGCCGGGAAGCAGAGAGAGACGAAGGGAGGAAGTGGGAGGGGAGATGAACCCTTCCAGGACACACCCCACTGGTGCACCCCTTCAACCAGGCCTCTATCAGACCCCACCTCCTAATGTCACATTGAGCTATACCTCTTCCATAGCCCAGTCACCTTTGGTGGGACATCCAGAGGTAAACCAGAACAATGACGACATGGATTGTTTGGATAATGGACACATTTTCTTGAAGAGAATCATTTTTAAAAAGCAATAAAAATGATACAGAATTTCAAAACTAGATGATAGGAAATTAACATTGGTTGTTATACTGTATATTGTAACTGCCTAATTACCAGACATAGGCATGCAAAAATTGATCAAACTATGAGGTTTTAAGTGTTCCTCACAATAAATCAATAGCAAGGCCAGGGAGATGGCTCAGTGGAATAAGCACTTCCCTGGCAAGC